CCGGAAACGCAACTGGACGAGACAATTTCTTAAAAGAAACAAATTTGCTTGTAGAAGAATATGCTAAATCAAATTGTAGAATTCGTGTGGGTGTCATCTCATATTAACATACCAGGAAACGACAAAGTTGACTTAGCAGCAAAATTACAACTCAATGGCCCAAACTACACCCACATTGACTACAGCATCCCAGAGATATTCAACATGATATAGAAAATCGTTTAAAAATGGCAAACAGAATGGGATTAATGCACCAAGGGTTGTACACTGTACATAAACAGTGTGCCTCAAAGCCCGATATACTCTTTCTAAACATGACCAACGAGTTATAAATAAAATCAAAACTGGCAAGACTTTGCTAGCAGGCAGCATGGGAAAATACATACGGTTTATCACCCACATAGGGTGGTACGCGGGCAATATTTGCACCTACTTCCCCCTTGCGACACAGCAAGCGGTATTATGAATGTGCTTCATTGGGCAATGCACTTAAGTACAGGTATCTCACAGTATATACCAACCACTTTCATGACCACGCCTCCCAACACTATCCCCTATCGAGCGCATTACAATCTTGAAATAAACAAACATGCACGTTCGGATCATACAATTGATGCCTCTATCATACAGGCTGCTATGAATACAAAAAGATTCCTTCTGTGAGGACGTGACATGAGATTTAGGGAGATGAGTGAAGAGGTGGCATGCGGTTTATTACCCACATAGGGGTGATATTTGCTTATGCGCGGGCCGATGCTCTACCTGCAACTTGTCACAAAATAAGGCTATAATTAACTTGGTTTTGCCTTGAATCTATTTTCCACCTTTATTCGTTGTAATGGCGTACAACGTTACCTGAGGTGAATCACTCTTCTCCAGGTAAATTACATGCGGCAGAAAGTCACGAAAACATGGTATACACAAGTATTTGACCATAACTATTATTCACTCCTATGGATTTAAGCTTGTTACATTTCGTGCTGAGACACAAGTTATTTGCATTTTGTCAGTGTTGGGTGTACTTTCCACCATCGTCTCAAAGTTTTGTTTCATTTGATTTGTGAAGCTTTCTCTCGGTTTTATGTTATAGCGTGTGATGATGCTTTCTAACATTGCGTGCTTTGTCATTGCCATTTTTGCAATAAATAGTTTGGTTTTGTTTTAGTCTACTAGTGGACACTATTGGATAATATTGGACACTATTGGACACAATTGGATACTATTAGACATTATGGGAGCTTATTTGACATTATTGGGGCTGACGATGTCTTATTGAGGCTGACGATGTTGTTTTGTTTTTTTAGGGCTGACGGTGTCTTATTGAAGCTGACGATGTCTTATGGGGGGGGATTCGGTGTTCGATAAGAGATGACTGTAGCTACCCATGGTTGGATGTATCTATTTGTATTGCGGCAGGCCGTCTACGTGTATAAATACATGTATGTATGTATGTGAATCCGTGATATATACAAATGTGGATCGATAAGAAAGGGATCTAGTAAAATTGCAGTTCCAGTTTGTATATTGAATCAACTGTAGAGTGACAGTTTGTCAAGTGAATGACTATTCCAGTTTACAGTGATGTGTGTTCATGTATTTGTGTGTGTGTGTGTATATATATATATATATATATATATATATATATATATATATATATATATATATATATATATATATATATATATATATATATATATATATATAATGTGTGTGTGCATGATTGTGTGTTCATTTTTCTCCGCTAACTTTACATTGTCAGACTCGTTCAATATTCCCCGATATTGAACACCTTCATATTGTACTCCTCGCGCTTGATGCAGGTGAGCGCGCGGTACGCTATGAAGTTATATGGTCGGTGGGCGGAGCTATATGCGCATGAATACTATTATTGTGTATAGAAGGAATCTACGATTGTGAACATTATTATTTTAGTAATAAAATAATACATTTTATTATTAAATATATTTGATTGTGAACTTTATTATTAAGACTTTGGTAATGAAACAAAAAATAAGCATATAATAAAAATGTTACTGCATTTGAATGAAAAATAGGAACTCGTTTTTTTTCGGATAGATATGTTGCACTTTCAAGGTCGTGCATGTTGTACAATTGTAGCAAATAAACGCACCACTAACTCTTGTTTTAGCTACAGTTTGTATAAAAGACACAAAACTGATAAGCTTTTATTTTATATTTCTACATAGAAAATTGCCAAATATAAGTTCTTGCAAAAGATTAACTTAACTGATAATGATAAATGCAACTTCTGTAAGTAGGGAACATCAACAAATTGGTAATTTATTCTGTGACTTTTCAGTTACAGAACAGTTTTGGAAATTATTTGTGGAATGGATCCAAATTGAAGATACAAATTTCAAACGTACGCAAAAAAGGTCTTTAAACAAACTTCCTGTTACTCGTACAGTTATGGTATTTTTTTAAACATATCACAGAATCGGACGACTAGTCCATTATAACAAGTTCAATAAACAAATATCCTAAGTGTAATAGAGAGACTGACTACAAGTTCAACGAGGTCGAAAGTGATGCTGTACCCTGCAAATCAAACAGCACAAACTTTCCGCTTTACTTCCGAAAGCTGTCATTCGTCTGTCCATTTTCTGATGTTATTCACGCACCCACAAACCAGCTTAGGTACCACAACAACTTTACCAAGAATTACACAGCAATGACGAATACACGTTTCCCAAAATTTTTCTGGCTATTGTAATTTTGGCTGACAGTTCTATATGTTCAAAGAAAATTTGAGCACTATATATGGAGGGTTCCAGTCTCAAATCTTTAGCCAGAGCAGGATTTGTCTGCTTGGGACTACGAAACCAAATATAGTGTCTCAGTGTGAAATTTCATGAATGGGAATGTAATGATACGGCTTTCCTGGGATTTTCTAGACGGTATTACTTCTGCCGCTACATTCCTTTGGTCGGTCCACAATACGGTCCTCGTTTTTGACACTTTACAAATGGACAGGATTCATAGTTTACCTTTGTAGCTACGAGAACGCATATAAAGAAAATGTGTCAAGATTCCATTGAAAGACAAGGAAAAATTGTTTCCTAAATGTCATATATTTTTTTTAAAACATTGGTATCTCAATGCCATCAAAAGACTGATTGCTTCATGTTCAAATGATGAGACATTGTCATGCTACATATTCTGTTATCCATGCTCCATCAAATTCCATGGAAGGAAGTCAATTACACTGGTCAAGACTTAGTGGATTACTTGATACTTTTATAGAACCAAGTGGACAAGAGAGATTCTTTGGAATCGCTGAAGCTTTGAAGATACGTCGTGTGTGTATGTGTGTGTTTAACTTCATTCGTGCATTTCGTTTACCAGATTCTTTGTAGCAAATTTATGAATAGTACATGCAGAGATATGACTGTAAAAAAAAAACATTTTCTGTACATGAAAATTCATTGTGCTAAATATGTTGCGAAATTTCATGAATATGATATGTGTATCACCGTGTGAAGAAGACATTCGTCTTACTTGTTGAATTTTCATTTTTGCGAAGAACCATCTATGGAAAGTCATCATTTGACATCAAGCGGCTCATTAGAGACCAAAACCGAACTATAAATAATCATCTGTACCAAATGTCAGTTTTATGCACATTTCCAACCCCCATCATGCTGTTTCACGGACAAATCACCTCAGACCATTCAACTGGATCACGGAGCTCAATGGGAAGTAGCATTGAGAGAAAAAAATTCATCCTGTTGAAGTCATAAATATCATCGGAGGCAAAATATTTTCATTGTAGATATTTTCAACAACATTTGGGCAAAATTATTCTTTTATTTACGAATCCCAGAACATCATCACTAGTTAATCTTCAGATGATTGCCGTGATAATTCCTTCAGATGCTCACAATATCGCCAATGGTCGAAAGTTTATAGGAAACCCAGTTTGTACATCATCCAGTCGTAACAGAAACATTACTTAGTAGATCGTATTATTATTATTATTATTATTATTATTATTATTATTATTATTATTATTATTATTATTATTATTATTATTATTATTATTATTATTATTTTTATTTTTATTATTATTTTTATTTTTATTATTATTATTTTTATTTTTATTATGAGATTGGGTCTTTCGTCGACCAACAGCCGGGCGCTACAAGGCTCGTCCAAGCAAACGCAGAGGTCTTGCGGTAATACACGTTTTTTTTTTTACTGAGGATAACTCTTCTCTCATCATTCGAACTGTCATCTCACTCTATCAATCTCAAGCGGATAACGACGCGACTCGGCGACAGCCCTGCTACAAGCCGGGGACTTGGCGACCAGTCGGCGACCATAAGACTAAGTCGACGACCAGGTAAAAGGCCAGTCGACGACTCTGCGACCAGAGACCCTGCGACTAAATCGGCGACCAGAAGAAGATCAGTCGGTGACTGCGACAAGTCGGCGACCAGAGAAAGACCAATCGGCGACTGCGACAAGTCGGCGACAGAGACTGCGACAAGTCGGCGACAGAGACTGCGACAAGTCGGCGACCTTGCGACAAGTCGGCGACCAGTGAAAGACCAGTCGACGACTCTGCGACAAGCCGGCGACCAAGTCGACAACTGCGACCAAGTCGGCGAAACACAATAAGCCAGGAATGAGACGGTATCCTGCTGAGGTAGAAATCTGTCACACTCTGGAGTAACAGTTATCAGACATATTCAGCGGGATATCACTCCAAATACATGACCTATCATAAAGAACCCGAGAACGCAAGACTCGGAACAGAGTAGCCAAGGGAGTAGTTTCGCGACATTATTATTATTATTATTATTATTATTATTATTATTATTATTATTATTATTATTATTATTATTATTATTATTAATGTTGTTGTTGCCGCTGTTGGCTGCACTAAGAGATTCAGGACCTCTAAATTTCTCTTTCTCCAATATTACAGACTACTATGATACACAATTTCTAGATAAATTATTATTCTTGTTTGAACCGGTCCGGTGGCCTAGTAGTTAGAGCTTCCGCCTCGGATACGGAAGGTCGCGGGTTCTAACCCGGCCGAGTTATATCAGATACTAACAGCTGCCTCGCTTGACGCTCAGCATTAGGAAGTTAATGTTAGGACTGTTCGGCCTGGTGTCAGGATAATGCGACTGGGTGGGACATCATGCTACATGACTGCTCCGGTGCTAGACATCACTATAAACTGCCACACGGCAGACATCGTAGCGATATGACTGAAAAATTGTTAAAGCTACGTTAAAAATCATAATCACATCACATCACATTCTTGTTTGACGTGTTTTTACAATGGTAGTCTATTTACATAGGAATCCCCTATGTATTTTACGGAACCAATAATGTCTTCGTCCTTCGTAATGTTCCGGAGCTACTAAACGACTTTCGCGGCTGATCTTGACCAGCTCATTCCAGATGTAACTGTTTGTATTGTATAGGGCTCACAAACGTCTCCTTAAAAATCGTTACTGTGAATGACCGCTAATGGTTAGAGTGTCCGCCTCAGATGCGGGAGGTCGTGGGTTCTATTCCCGGCTGAGTCATAACAAAGACTTACAAAAATGTTACTAACAGCTGCCTCGCTTTGCGCTTAGCAGTAAGTTGTTGTTGTTATAGGGTTTAACGCCATTTTTCAGCGCAAGATAGGCTGTTATACATGGCGGCCAGTATTAGTGGTGGAGGAAGAACCATGGAAAACCCTGGGAAGAACCACCGACCCACGAGAAGCTACTGACAGGCTTTCTCACTTACCCATGTTAGCCGAGTCTGAACTCGAACTCATGCAGAGATGACACGGCAGTGATCCGTAACGGTCAGCGCTTTAGACCACTCGCCTCCCCCCACCTTAGCAGTAAGAGGTTAGTATTAGGACTGGTCGGCCTGGTGTCGTAATAATGTAACTGGGTGGGACATGATGCTACACATGTCTGTAGTATGATACCCCAGTGCTGGAAATGACTATAAACTGCCACAAGGCAAACATCGTAGGGATATGACTGAAAAAATTGTTAAAGCTACGTTAAAAATCCAAATCACACACACACACACACACACGAGTCTGCAGTTTTATCAATAAAGCACGACGAAATACGACATAAAATTACCTAAACGGTATTATTTAACACACACGCACGCACGCAAGCGTGAACTTCGGCTAATAATGTACTGACTATATTCTGCGAACGTCGCAGCTTATCTTCTTTTTTTTTTTTTTTTTTTTTTTTTCATTGGAGTGGTATGGTCGTTTCACGACCGTAAATAAATCTTGTTTGAAGTGCCTAGATACCTCTCTCTTTCCTTGAATTTTAATATTCCTGCGTAAGATAACACACTCATGAAATTTCAATCGGTGAAGAGCTCCAAGAGATGACCCTTCCAGTCAAGATTAACAAAAAGTCGTTCGAAAGCAAACTTCTATCAAGACTACGGACTACAACCTAACAAAATAAAATCATATTGCTGGTTCAAAGCAAAATATGCATAATAAACAATAGAACCCATGAGGTTGAAGAAATTCAAAAACGGAAAACAGGTACAGAAAAATAGATTCTTTTGCGAAACGTTTCATTGTAATTTCATTTCAAAATGGAATATATACCCCACCCACAAAGAATAGCAAAAGAAAAAGAAATAAAGAGAATAGAAAGAAAAAAGAAACCACGCCAAGGAAACAATCATCATACAAAAACAAAAAAAAAAAAATCACTATGCAATTTCTTAAGAAAGCTCAATAACTTGGAATTCAAAGCTGTTGATTTTGAGAAATCGTTAATTCTAAATTGCTGCGCAATGCTGGCTAGGTCCATATGCTCTCCAAAAATAATTGAATATATCCAAATATTTTCATAAGAAATATTCTTCTGTAAAATTGTGTAGTTTCATGCTAAAAAAGATTTTATTTCACTGACGGAATCAGTAGAGTTAGAGGTAAGTGTTGAAAGGTATAATAGAGCAAATAAAATGTTCGCCGATGACCTTATGTCGCAACATTAAGCTTTTCGTTCTTCATTTACGTAGCAGCAAACGACTTATAAAAATTTATCTTGTACACGAGTAATACAGATGAAAAAATTCTCGCACGATATCATGTCTGGGAATCGGTACACTTAATCAGACCTGTTAACTAAAATGGTTTCTGCAATAATCCCTTCATGGTATTTAAAGGCTATAGTCCTAAAATGGTGGGTGGGTGTGGTATGGCCAATTATCACATAGAGTATGTAATATGTGAAAAGTTAAAGATTGCTACATATAAAACTTCAAATGATTTATATGAGCTAAAATTATCAGTTTGATATTGTATTTAGTTTGCAGCATTAGCATACATGCCAAGTGTTCTGGAAACAAATTCGTGAGATTTGTGTTCAAAATCAGGGAAAATGTGTCCAAATCGGGGAGATTAGTGTAACTATTTTTCTCATAAGTTTAAGCGCGAAGGTGCAGATCGTACCACAAAGTCAAATAACTATACTGGTTAGAGACCAATTCTTGCCCACAGGTACTCATGCTATAGTATGATAGAGAGGGTCCAATATCAGAATATGGAGGTAATCTAAGGTATTTTTCACTCTGTATGATTTTTTCCTTCAGATTATTTTTTTTCTTAGCATCAAGCTCACGTCAACAACCTTTGTTCTCGCAGCATACCAATTGTCGTCATATTAAGTATAACTCGCCACCGCATTGTAAGTTTGGTTCCTGTTTAAAAAATAAAAAGAGCGATTATAGCTGACAAGCCCGATCAAAAATAAGCGTCAGGTAATTATTATTAACAGAGTTATTATTATTATTATGGCGACAATTGGCATGTGGCGAGAATTGATCTTTAACCAGTAATGAATAATAGCCACAAAAGTAGTTGTACAAATATGCATCAATTTTTATGTGTTTGGTGATTCACCTCCAGCGGAGTGCACTACTTAATGTACAACAGCAAAGGCTGCTGATATTCAGATTATAATGTCTCCTTCCACTACCAAAATGTTCCATGTGATCAAAAGTAGTTTAGAATATAATTCTCAAAAAGGGACAAAGTAGAGGTTCATTTCTCGAATTGACAGAAAAGGCATAAAACATTCTGATTTTATGAACTTAGAGTCTGGTTCCCTGAGCTCTCTCCACTAGGTTACTCTTCGTTACAAATGGTAGCTGAGTTGGGGAGAAAAAGGAACCAGACTAATAACTTGATTGACGGATTATAGTAGTCGTGAACAGTGTATTGCATGTTGTTTCGACTGGAAATACCTATGCTTGACAGGTTTTTTTTTATTTCCGGGAGATCTTGTCAGCAAATCGGTAGATCAAAAGATAGACTCCCTGACGACTCAACTCGGGAGACTTGGCATGTATGCATTCAGATAGTAATTCTCTAGACCAACAAGTTGGTCTCTGCAGTTTTTTTTTGACGGCTATATTATTGCGGGCTCTATTATTGTGGCAAATGGAATTTTCCGATTAATTTTGGACACGCGTCGTCTAGTGGTTGTTTACGCATGCAAAGCTATAGCCAGTAAGGATGCAAAATATCTTGCAATTTCGTCTAAAATGTTAACATTTTTATAAAATTTATAGTGAAAAAGAATAAACATCACTTATTTGTAAAGTGCATGGAATTAAGTTGATCATTGTAAACAAAACTCCAGTCAAACTTGCTATACCTGTATTCGATTTGATTATGAAATTTATTCAGTGTATGTTTGATGATTATAGGTCATATCCTGATAGTGACATACATGTCTTAACAAGGTCAAGGTTGCAATTTGATTTTATGGTAGACATTATGGACCCAAATTGATACAACGCTGCTAATGAGCCTACTTATCCAACATAAATAGGAAAACAATAATAGTAAACTACTTTTTAAATTAGTAACATTTCAATAATAATAATATTATTAATAATTGATTTATTCATGTATATATATATATATATATATATATATATATATATATATATATATATATATATATATTTATCTGCCCACATTGCACTTAATTCAGATAAAGTGATATATATTATTTTACTACTGTAGTTATCATGGATTTCAACTTAAATGACATTAGTGTATATAATTTAGTCATTAAATCCTTTATTTTCATGAAAATTTTCAGCTAGTGCAAGCGTGGACATTACATCTTAACACCAAGTTCAAATTTGTGTTTATTATAATATGTGCGTGCTACCATACATAATTTAGGTAAATACCGCGATAATATAGAGTTGTTCCCCCATGGCACGGTAATTTGGATCAGCTGGCATATGTGGTTTTATTTACATTAACGCAACAGGATTGACTGGTATAATTTATAGAAATAGAGGAAAAATCAGAAAAACTTTACAATTTGTAACAATGCAGCAATAGCAGATCTGTTTTTTTTTGTGTATTGATAACATTATGTGCCACGATAATACAGCGTTTCAGGCTATAACAATCTGTTTGTTTTTAAAACCCCTCCTACTGATTTCAATAATGGAAATTATAATGTGATAAAAAGTGCAAGGAACATGGTCAATTCATTCATTGATTTATAGTTTCTAACCTGACTCTAGAGTAGAATGACCCTAACATCATCATTGTATGCACGTTTCATGCTTAATGGAAGTTTTCAGTATAATAGATGGACATCCTTGAGACCCATTTCCAGTTACTGGACAAGTCTATTTTCAGCAAAAGGGTATATGCGCAACTATAGATACATACATATGCCATCTGCTTCCGATATTTACAATGTTGAATCAAGTAAAGGAAAAGAATGACAATAAATTTGCCTTTCATGTGGATTTAACTAGCGGTTTTATTAATATATTCATGTGTGCAAAGGGATATAATTCCAAACTCAAGGTTATGGTGATTTATCCAGCGGTTACCGAGCAACGTCATTATGATGGAAATAAGCTACTCCATAGTGTACAGAATATGCCGTCGTGTTAGTAAGTATGGGAAGTCCTTTAAGCATGAAAGGTGCAAGGGGATGCCAGTATTAGTGCCATTCTGGTCAGTCAGGTTATAAATTATAAATCAATGATTCAATTTAACTTGTTCTGTGCA